ATGAAAACCAAAAACTACCCACCCTAAAACAGTTCGGCACGCTACTGGTTGAGTCCTAGTGCCCTTACGAACTTCCAAAGGTAGGGTCAAATGCCAATTATCAACACCTAAGATAACTGTTGGTTGGACATTTTCAAAACATAAAACATCAGTAAGATCCCTCAAGTGATTATAATTTAAATCGCTTCGTCTAAGTGTTTGTTTCGAAATGCCTAAGTCAGGAATCGAACGTGCTCCACGAACTAACTGCGCGTTATCACTGGTTCGACCCCTTATCGTAAAATCTACGAATTCGACCGTAGAGAGTTTGTTCAAACCTCCTACACATTTAACGTGCACTTGAGATTTCGGACCAGTAGCTCCTATCTTTTGAGAGACCTCAGAGTCTATGAAGGTAGCGGTAGACCCATCGTCTAGTAAGGCCCACGTGTCAAAACTACCTTTGGATCCAGTCAAAGTAACCGCTATTACCTTAAGGAGAGGTTTAAAGGAGTTAGGACATTGATCGGCGACATGGGCTATGTTCTGAACGTCCTCATCATGAAGACAGTCGGGTGGCGTATAGATAGTGGCAGGAGGTGCGGGCTCCAACGAACTACTCCCTGCTTCAACTTCAATATTATAATTATTGTCGTTGACTTTATGAAGCAAAGTATGATGTCGTCGGAACTTGCATGCCTCGACTGTACAAGTTTTCTTGCATATAGCATATCTATGGCTACCTTTAGTAAGACACTTGCGACAAACCTTATTGTCTGTGACCCACTTTAATCTATGATCAACTGACAACGATAAAAAATTTTGACAGACTTCAATTTCATGAGTTTGACACTGACAATATAAACACGGTCTGTTATTTTTGACAATAGGTTTATGCATAGCAACCGAGGGTAAGGCCGGTGTCGGACTTGCAATCTCTTTGGTCGCAACAAAATGAGCTCTCTCCGGACGGCCCTTGTCGCGAAAGCCCATATCTGCTATGATACCAAATTTCGAATGAATATGAGCTTCATGAACAAGGAAATCCGAAAGGAGCTCCAGCTTGAAGCGACCAGACCCGGACTGAGAGAATGCAAAGTCGACCCATTTTTCCCTTAAAAGGGGAGATAGCTTACCGAGAATCGAGTTTACTAACTCCGGGCAGGCTAAATACTCAATACAACGTAATAAACGTATTGTCGACACAAAGTTGCGAATTTTACAGGCGAACCCGTTTAGTTCCTTACCAGAGTCGTAATTCCCAATTCTGGGCAAAGCTCTTACCTCTGCTAATGTGTTGAGAACAACCAATTCAGAATTCCCGAACTGTTGCTCCAATGCAAAAATAACCTCCTCGGGATCATCTGACGCAACCAGGAGAGTAGCGACTGCGTCCCGAGCCTGACCTTTAAGAGCCAATGACAACCTTGACAGATTCTCTATGTCATCAAAGCGGCACCTGGTTCTCTCGTACATCTTGCGAAAGAATAGCCACTCGGATGGAGAGCCCGTAAAAAATGGAAGGTCACAAACCTTATTTCCGGTCGATGGCTTCAAATTCTTGATCGCCTGTGTGAGGAGTGTGATTTCCGAAATTTTATTAATGTTGTTACAATTACACGGATTGTTGACTTTAGTGTGATGTGTGCCTACATGAGCAGTGTTTTCCACGGATTGCGCCGGGAGTTCTTCGCCAATTGGAAGGCTGCTCATACACTGTTCTGGTACCGCAGGGGCCCCATAGGCCTCTGGGGCGGCACCGGAAGTGGGCACTGCTTTTGGCGTAAGAACAGAGACCTCTTTCCTGGAAAATTCACGCAAAGGATTATTTTGCTCTAGAGCACTACCATTAATTTCAGAAGTTACTAACCAGTTTTCGATGTAGTTCGTTTTAGAACTTCCAGAAGATCTGCATGCGATCGCGGCCAGCTGGGCCTTTAATTTTAGTTTTGATAGAGCCTGTTGGCGTTCGGCAGCTGCCTTTTCGCGCTTCATATCACTAATTTTGTTCATATCGATAAACTTTTTAGTGTTTTGCATTTATATTCTTTACTTTCTTCATTCTATAACAATGGACCTTCAATTTTATATCTGTAACCATTAAAATTCTGTAATATAAACTTATCCAAACCTTTACGAACTTTCATCCTATGTTTTTGTCTATTTACACTAATGTGAACCCTTACCTGTAGCTTTCATAGTTTTTCGTTATACATTTTACGAATTCTAATCATATTTAAGTACTTATTTATATATTATAACACAAATTATCGCTAATTTTAATTGTTTTGACATAATTGACATCAAAGTTTTTCTTCGTTGCTATGGTTATATTTGATACTCTTCATGAAAATTGACTCATTGTTTGTCAGTTTTAGGCATTGAAACTCTGTAGTTTTTGAATTTTTAGGGTTCTAATTTGAAATCATTGACTTCTAAATTTGAGTTCGTCTTCAGGTATAAATAGCCTCGCTCAAATAGTTCTTGATCACTTCAACGGCAACAGTTGCCAAGTTAGCTTTTTGGAGCTCATACAGAGCTAGCTAAATTCTTAAAAGGCCTATTTCCCGGGGCCGACTGCCCCGGGAACTCTTCAAAGTTACGGTCTCAAAGTCGCATGACATCTTTTTGGCTTTAACTAGACGACAACAAATCAATACTCCACTATAATCTCCTTCGCTACTTCACTCCTGGAGGCTGTCTGCGAGTATACACCTTAGACCCGAGCTGCTGCTCAGTTCTGGGCTGCCGAAGAATCCCCTGTTCGACGCATCGAGACTACGCCTCGCTGATTTATGCTCTCGGCTCTTGGCTGCCGGAGATTCTCCTGTTCGACGCATCGAGACTACTCCTCACCGATTTACGCTCTCAGTTCTTGGCTGCCGAAGAACCTCCTGTTCGACGCATCGAGAGACTACGCCTCGCCGATTTTACGCTCGGGATCCAGACGCCCCTCAAGACTGCTGAAGTACTTCATCAACGGAACTTCACCGCTGACCCACGCCCCTTCACCTACACTGACACTCTCACTCACACTTCTACACTTTTCACCTCACTAATCACCTCGTCCCTTTTATTTTATTTTTTTGTTTAATGTAAATAAATTATTAAATTTGATTTATCATCTTTTAGTTCATTTTATATCTCGTTTCATAACAATTTAAAATATTGAACACAACTTTGAAGAGCACAAATTATTAAAACACGTATACTCGAATAGACATTTTTAATGACATATAATAACAAAACAAAATCTATAAAAAATACAATATTTAAAAAAAACCATAAAGAACATCAAAATAATAAGGTTTTATAGGTAGGTGGCTAGTGCTTAGTGGCTGTCGCCAACACAGATCGTGAAGTTTTAGTCTAATCACGTTCATACTGTTCTTTAGAAAGTTAAAAAGAAATATTATTTAGTTCATCGGATAATCAATTTTTTTTTACTAATTGCCTAAAAATGAATGTCAGGAGTACGGAGTCTCCACACACGGGCCCCCAGCTAGAAGGGGCCCCCTGACATTTTACCAACTTGCCTGTGGTTACGCCACTGCTACCTACCTATATCACGGAATAAGTATAATGGTGGGATTTAAAGTATCTCAGGGTTGCTTAATAAATTCTTCAAACTCTCGATTTTATTAGCAAATTAAAAGGTTAATTCCAAGATACTGACTCTATGTCGGTCTCGATCAGTACAAAAAAGATAATCAACCAGCAAAACACGACCACGCGCATTCGAATGCGGAAAAAGTAATAATTCAAAATATTTACGGCCAGCATTGACCATAAATCATCCGGAGAGTACCTACCTATAGTAATGTGCACCGACGTCACAGCCTATATATATATATATATATATATATATATATATATATATATATATATATATATATATATATATATATATATATTTCTTTTATTTATTTATTTTGAGAATCTAAATGGAATAAATATTTTTGTTATGTATTTATAAGAAATGACAAGACGTTTTTTCTTATATATTCTTAACGAATAATACTTCCAATATTTCATTAAATATCTTCACAGAATACATAATTGGAAATTAACAAAAAAATCATCCTTTACTTTTATTTTGCATACAAAATGAATTCGAAAAAATATTTCAGATCATTATATTATAGGTAAGGAAAATAGTAACATTTTACCTTGATCAAACAAAATAATACTCGTATATACCTACTGTTAGTAGCATCTTTTTAATTAAGGCATTTATTACCATAGTCTTAGAGTTCAATAAAAAATATTATCTTTAGGTATGTGTATTTGCTTACTCATCGGGGTGCCGTTACTTCGTTTCAAGGTTTAAGGCACCAGAACATCTTTTGATGTCGCAGCTTTTGATCACTACTCAATAGGTAAACATAAAAAGTATTGAAAAATATTTTTTATAGTTATTTCACGTAGTACTTCAAACTAACGCTGTGCTGTCAAATTAACGCTTTATTTTGAACTATTTCCTGTTATGATCTAATAGTATGAACAGAACATATTTGATTGTTTGTTTGTTTGCGTTGAATATGCTCGGAAACGACTGGAATGATTTAAAAAAATATTTCATCTACGAGGAGCCACATCATACACACGCAATTGACATAGGCTATAAGATAATAAATTAAGTTAAATGGAGACATTTTTTTAATGTTCCCATGTATATTTTAATAGTGTGCCAGTAAACAACATCGGTCTCCGTGTACGGTAATTATATAACAAGTAGCAAGGTGTTTACATCACATCTTATTTACATCTCTCGTGAAAAGAAAAAAAAAAATGTGAATATGACTCATAACGAACACAATATTAATCTAAGTGTATTTAGTTCTTCGGAATATAAAAAAATAGATAACAAGCTTTTATCAGGGCTGCTGGATATGCATTTAAAATTCAATCAAAATCTGTAAAGTTTGGAGAAGTATGGTAATCAAAACTGTTACACGAATATATTATATATAGGATTGAAATAAACACTATTTTGGTCAATCTTGTATCTTGGCGTTTACCTTTGGTTGAAGTGAGCATTTTATTTGTGTCTTGATCAGAATCTCCTCTCTTCAATTTGGTGTCAACAGTTACTTGCGCCTCCAAAACAGCCGGGTCTAATTTAACTGCATACAAGGCGTCTGAGAACATAAGTCATCGTGTTTTAATGACAATCTGTAATATATTACATATCGTGGAGTCAGTGAATGGCGCGGAAGGTGGGATAGAACAGTATTATAAATAATCTTCAACTTTTACAAAACTCTATTTCGCTGCTGATTTTCATATAAGCTACTGAGACCTTCTAAGTCACCACATTTCACAATTGTCTATTATAATATTTTATACCTCGTGTGTTCATAAGTTTTGAGACGAAAGTTGCGTAACTTTATTAATAATTAAATTGTATTTCTAAAATGTTTAGTAACCATAAATCAACAATAAAAAATATATTTTATTCAAAAGCACCACTCTTGTTTTTAATACAGGCCCTTAGATGATTTGCCCAGTCATCAATGGCGGCACGAATTTTTTCTTGCAGAATTCGCTTTGCTTCTCGAACAAGGATTCGCTTCAGTGACTCCAAATTTGGGTGGGACTTTCGGCAGTCCCTGAGCTCCATATTGATCCATAAAGAATAATACAACGGGTTGAGGTCGGGGATGGAGGAGGGCTACTCGTCCGCCGCGATGAAGACCGGCACATTTTCCCCCAACCAAACTTGGGTGCTTTTTGAAATTCGCGAAATATTAGTCTGCAGAGCGAGTTTCTTCTGAGTGCGACATGAATTTCAGCGAAGTCGCTCTCGGATGATTTTGATGTTCAAAGGCGTCCTCACAGAGCGTGGCCGACCACTCCTTTGGCGATCTTGCAGATAACTTGTCTCTTTGTACCGCTGTATTGTATAATAGACGAAGTAACGGCTTACAGGAAAACTTTTCAGCTGGTGGAAAATCTGCATCGTTTTTTTTCCCACCTTAAATAGCGAAATGACAGTCGCACGTAATTGTTTCGTTCCCTCCATCACGAGAAAATATAAACAAATGAATTTGCGATACAAATAAACTAAATGTTAACATTCCAAATTCAAAATCGATAAAAGAAACAGTCAGTAACATTTTATTTTATTTTTTCAGTAAGAAGTTTGTCTCAAGACTTGTGTCTCAAGAACACACGAGGTATGAAGAATCTCGTAAAGTTTAAACTATTATAAAGCTTATTTGATGCTGGTCACCATTTTATGTATTTTTATATTGCGGCACATGGACCTCCGTACTAGATACTGTGCGATACCATTACACCATATCATTAGTACTATTGTACTTTCACATAATGATGCATCAACCGTTACAAAACTTTTGCACATTTTTGTCACGAGCTGCTGTTATATATGCTATAATTTTCGTGTGAAGATAAAATATTGAATTTACAATACATTCACGTTTTTTTTGTAATATACGTTTTACTTGTCACGAAGCTCTTTATTACTGCAAAAAATCGTATAACGTGATACGTGTCCACGGGTCAATATAGGTACGATGTATATACATACTACTAAGTATCCATTGAAACATAATCTAAAAAGTGCAGTTAAGAATTGGAATCGAACTAGAGAGTAACATTGGCTACATTTTACGAAGTTATATCCCTTTGACCAACCACTCAAAGCCGATAACAGCTAGTTTAAGAATAAACTTGGTTTTACCCGTGGTATATGGATGACGGGTAAAAAAAATTATTTAGTCCATCAGTCAGATAATAGTAAAATATTAGATACGTATTTTTTTTCTTTTATTTAAACAAGAAATTGCTTATATAATAGGCATTAATGTTGAGGAGTGGGGACTCGCTGCGTCACAATTTTGTAGAAAATGTACAAAAGCGTGATGTCATACTCTGTAAATTAGTGGTTAAGCAAAATTTTTTTAAAATGTGCTCATTATTCTTCAATAATCTTGTTATAAAATCGATTAAAGGATAATGATCTATAGATAACTGTGTAACAGTTGATTGCGAAGTATTCAATAAAAAAACAATTAAGTAGGTAGGTACTAGCGAAAACTGCTACGTACTATTTTAAACAGTTCGCGTGGAATCAAGTTTATTAATGATTCCAGAAAAAATCTCTGTGGAAGCTCCGTCTAATCTCAATCTGATATAAAATTCATCATTATCGACCATTACCTTTGTAATAACTTTCCCATAGTAAAATTTAAATAATTAATATGGATATTAAAATTTGGACAGCTGCGTCATCTCTGAATATGGTACAATCTAAATACCTATTATACAATTCGTGACGGCCATGATAATCAAGATAACAGTTCTGGAATTCAAAGTCGTGTAGATACAGTTATCTTTTAAATGACGTTTCAATCAAAAATAAATAATCAACATGAAGTACCTAAGTCGAGAATTATTATCAGTAACTGTAGTTATCAATAAGAACTCAATAAGTTGCCTCTTTTTTATTAGATAAGTAAGCGCCAATTATAAAGTTATTACGTACCAGACTAACAAAACTTATGAAAGTTGTTTATTATAACTTAAATAAAGTTTTGTAACAAAGCTCATAAAACTCCAAGAAATGTTTTTAATTCGTTTACTTTTAAAAGAATATTATAGACATATATTAGGTATAAAAAAAAATTCGCCTCCCGTTATTTGTACGCTGAGATATTCTTAATTACGCATCTGATTTTACTGCGTTTGCATCAATAGTTATACATAGTGATTTAACGGCACGGCACACCAAGAATTACTAACTTCAAATGATTGTACAAAAAAATAACGCCTAATTATGCTGTAAAAAATGATATCATTAAAAATGCTTCGTATTTCTCAGGATTTCATCAAGGCAAAAATGAATTTATAAAAGTAACCATTTTATAAGTTACATTATTATTCGCATAATTACAAGGTGTTTCTTAGGGAAAAAAGGAGGAGAGCGTAGTGGTTAGCGCACTCTGCCTACAATACGGTTGTCAAGTAACTTTCACAATGGCCGGTCATGGGATGGGTGATCAAAAAAGTATTATTTCGAGCTGCTCCGTATTTCAGAAGGCACTTTAAGCCGTTAGTCCCGGCTGTAGTCGTTAATACCTACCAATAGGCACTGGGCTCGCGTGATGGGTCATGGTCCATTCTCCCTATTCGATCTGATTCGATTTCATCCCTATGGATATAGGGAAGACATGAACCCGAGCAATAACCAGCTGATGTGATAGGGACAATTGATAAATATTTCTCATTTTGTAGCCGCTTTTTTAGCTCGGTGGCGTAGTGGATAAGCGCCGTGACTTACGATCGTTGTTGATAAGCAAATTTGCAAGGTCACGGAATGGGTTACCAAAAACATAGTATCTCGAGCTACCCCGTGCTTCAGAATGTACATTTAGCCGTTGATCCCGGCTGCATTTGCAGTCGTTAATACCCTTCAATCTGCATTGGGCCAGCGTGGAGGGTCATGGCCCATCCTCCTAAACCGACCATAAAGTCTGAACCGCTACAGGTTTGATGGTGATGAAATTAATTACATCACGTTTTCTCTTTTGTCTTTATGCTGAGCCTTAAGACCTTTATCAATTTCAATTTCATGTTCAATCTGTTGAGTCGAATAATCAATTTGAGTTAATTCAACAAATTGCACTGCTAGGAGACAAGTCGAAGACTACTTTCAAAAGCTATTGAACGTGAAATTCTATCGTCTATAGCCGGCTAACCACCCTTTGGGGTCATCCATAAATTACGTCACACGATTTTCATGACTTTTTTGCCCTTCCCCCCGTCCTAGTCACAGCTGGTCACATTTGTAAGACTCCCCCCTCCTTGCGTGATGTCACATATTTTGCAAGGGTTTTTTAAAGTAATAGTCTAAAGTTCGTGTTTTAACAATTAGATTTTGAAATGTGACGTCACGAAATTTAGGACCCTCCCACCCCCTTGTCACACAATGTCACACTTTGTCGACCCCCTCCCTCCCCCTTAACGTGTGACGTAATTTATGGATGGCCCCTTTTCAGGGGTGCGATCGTCAACTCTCAAGCCATAAATATATTATACAAAAACAAAAGAAACAATCTCGATTTTCATATGGCAATATCATGTCAAAGTGTAAATTGTTGTGAATATTAGTGAAAATAATAATATATTTTGTGAAATTTGTCAAAACGCTATTGATATCTCGAGCTAGAAACATTGTTTTCAAAGGTAATGTTTAAAGCAAAATTTGGTAAAAAATCAACGATATATTTTTAATCTAAAGTATGATAATGAATAGACCGGTAACTAGCAATAATAATAAATATACGTTGGCGTGTCGACTACCAAATTAGAACGAATTATTAGTGAAGGAGAACATATGAAGACCTTTTTCTACACCGGGAATAAATAGGCACGGTGAAAAGAAGAAAATAATTTAAACCGGATTTGATTTAGATGTGTAAGCGTAACAGACAGTTGTACTATTAGAAGTGGTTAGCATTAAACAATACATAAAGTATATTTCCTTTATTTATTCAATTTAGATTTCAGGTCAGGTAAAATATTATTGGGTTTTCTTTGGCGGGTCAGGTGCTTTATTGAATATACAGGTGTATGTTTGTGCTCTATTATGTTTTATTATGTCTCACCCAGATGGTTAATACATGTCAAAATTTGCCGAGATCGAAATTTGCTCAGGAGTAATAAATAATATAACAATAATAAAAAAGTTTATTCATTTAAGCAGTACATTGACAAAAAACATTTTTATTCCGCCAAACTGTTTAACAGTTTATTGGCAGACAGAGCTCCATATTACACTTTACTTCTCAGATACACTTTCTGTCACATTTGTCTTATAGAAATAAGAATAGGTATGAGGCATGGACAATTAATCAACTATAACACTACTATATTTTTTCTTATTAAAATCTGTTGGTTACTCTATCACATACATATAAGTAAAATTATTTTTAACACTGCTTTAATTAAACACTAATTTAATGACCCAGGGGAGGTAATGTAATCTAATAAGAAGATATTCTACATGGGTCTCTTCTATACTTATATTATGACTTAAAATAAAACTTTCATCCCCTAATTTACCCTCTTAGGGTCGAATTTCGTGAAATCCCGTCTTAGTGAGCACTTACGTCCTAAAAGGAACCCGCTTTAAAATATTTTTATATGTTTTTATTTTATTTAAGTAAGTTTTAAAAGTACGACCA